ATAATCAGGACCCCACACTATAATTAGAGTGCTTTGTCTGCCAATTTTTCCCATCTACCTAATGCTCAGCTTTACTTTTGTCTCTGTGGCAGTAGTTCTCAACCTGTGGATCCCCATATGTTTTGACCTTCAACTCCCAGAAATCCTAAGAGATGGTAAAATAGTTGGTAATTCTGGGCCAAGTTGGTAAAATAGTTGGTAATTCTGGGCCAAAATACCTGGGGACCCACAGGTTGAGAACCACTGCTGTATGGCATAGGTTCACTTTAGAGACTTTTGATGCAAAAACTGACTGGAGCTAATTTGATTATTGTGAATTCTGGTGATTTCAATAGTTTGCTCTATAGCGGAATTGAGGAAAAGCTGCCCCCCTGCTTTCCTAGCCTTCATGACCAGTGATCAGGAATGAAGAGAGTAATAATCCATTAATATCTGGAAAGTCCCGGGTTCCCAATCTTTCTTCTCTGGTTCCACAGATAGAGGTGCTGGAAAGCAGTTAGTTTTTTAAAAAATCCAGTGCATTTTGAGAGCTTTTTTTCTAGGCTCATTGTTTTCAGTCACACTCAGTCATTTCTTCTCTTTGTTTCTTTGCCTTGCCCTATAATAATTTTAGCATCCTTCCTGCTTTAGACTTCTATATGTCTTACTTGTGAAAATTTTGTCATTAATTAGCAACGTTTTACTTTTTTCAACCTTAAATTATATGTTTATCATTAAGACCAATGCTCTCTATATAAAATGATGCAAAACAAAAGTAAAAGGGAGCTTGTGTTGTTATTTTCTGTAAAGTATGACTTACAAAGATTCTATGATTCTATATCAATTTCCAAAAATGCCAGTCATCTATAACGACTTCCAAGAACTCCAGTCTGTAATGACTTCCAAGAACCCCAGTCATCAACTGCCTCGCAACATGTCTTGCAAACTCAGGACTGTAGCTTTCTTTTCTGACACAATCCCCATATAATGCAATCTACCACTTTTACTGCTGCCTTCCACTGAAATTTATCATTTTTTGGAGTAAGTCACATCATCTCATGATATATTCAAATTACAATAGCCTCAGCATAGTCATATTGGCTTTTAGAAACAGTTCTGGTTTGACTTACCTTATGATCCATTTGTTTGTTTTTGGCAGTTCATGATATCTGTAGCACTCTTCTCTGGCATCACATACAAATGTGGATACATGAAACCATGGAAAATAGTGAACCATCAATTTTGACTACACTGGGTTGAAAGCATACCATAGAATGACATTGGAGAGAGAAAATATTTCTGAAATGTTGATAAGTGAAACTGGATATCAAATTGCTGGACTAGGATGTTGTGCAGTATACAAATCGTACTTGTTATGGCATAGAATGGAGTATCATATTCATTTTATCAAGGGTTGCATCTACCTTAAGGTTGCCTTCAAAGTGGTTGGTGCTCTTTAGTTTTTATCTAATTTGTTGCCCAAATGTTATTGAATGACAGTTCCCATCACTTTTGATTATCTGACATGCAGACTGGGAATGGAAATTGCAGCCCAACAGCACTTGTGACTCTGAAATTAGGGAAAGGTTAAAGGGCATTTTTAAGTCAGACATCATATCTACAAGCCTTGTATGTAAATTCGAACCCCATTATCCTGACTAAGTAGAACAAGTGATACCCATCCAGATGTCCCTTATCACAACTGCCATCAGCTCTAGTCATTATGTCTAATGACAAGGAATACGAGAATTGTAGTCTGGCATCCGGAGGGCCACAGAAAATGATATGGTGGGTTGGATTTGTCCCATGTGCCTTGAGTTTGAAACATGTGCTGTAGAAGTTTGATTTTAACATCTACTGATATATATTTGCACTTGAGGATCTTACCTAGTTCTAGCAACAGTAGTGGGTGGTGACACCAAGAGAGATCTCTCAGAGACAACAGCAGCAACCTGTTAGCATTTAGCTAATTCTGGATATGTTAGTAGTACTCAGAAGCCAGCAGTGGCAACTATTCCTAAGTGTCTTTTACATTGAAAACAACTAAAAGCAAGATCACTAGCATAACCAATTTAATTTTTGACAAGTCTTATAGAAAACAACTGAGATGCAACAGAAATTGCTGTTCTTAGAACTGTAGTAAGCAACTTGAAAGGAAAATGTATTGCGTAAGAGGAGAAGAGATCAGTGTCTACAGTTTCAGCTTTTCCAGACTGAAACCTTTCCTTGCATAAGCTGCTTCAAGTGGTTTTGTGGTGACTCAGGAAGCTGCTTCATGTGAGATGTGCCCTATGGAGCAATTTGAAAACTCTAGAGTGGTTGTAATGTGTCACAACTAATACTACTGATGCTGGAGAGGAAACTTGGGCCCTCCAGGTGCTTTGGACTGCAACTCCCACAATTCCTAACAGTCAGTAGGCTGTTAGGAATTGTGGGAGTTGCAGTTCAAAACACCTAGAAGGCCCAATTTTGCCCATGCCTGGTTTGTCTAAGGCTTACCATAAGGGTTTAGTAGGGTTGACCAAGAGAAAAAAATATCTGAGGATCCATAAATATATTCACATAATATAATCTTTACATGGCCATAGTTGGAAACATTTTGTTTATTCACTGCAAGGGAAAAGTTTATTACTGCCAAATTAATAGTAATGCCAAGAGAAAAAATATGCTGTGGGAAAAATGAAAATCATTACTGGTGAGAATACTATTGTATTTGAGAAGTTCATTTGGATATGGGTTTCATCAAAGAAGCGAGAAGATGTAAATAGTGGATATCTATTGATAACCCCTACTTTTTCTGTCTTGGCAAATAAATCTTGGAATATGAATTTACTTCTTAATACCAGCAGAATACAGTACAAAAAACATGCAGTATGGCAATCAAATGCTGAACTTTTCAAGGAGAAAAAAATGCATTTAGCTACACTCCATTTATTTATTTCAAAACTGATGATGAAGTGAAAGCACACAGAGAAGTCCTGTTTCACAAAGCCCAGATCTCATTAGCATGGTGAACAACCAGTGTATTACGCCTGAGAAAAAAAAACCCTGCTTGATCCATGAATGATTAATTTAAAGACTCTACAGTGCATTACTTCCCAAGAATGAAAAAAGGCCCTTTGTTACCACACATCCCATGTTAACACACTTTTGCATTGCAGAAAATAACTTGTAAAACAAATGACAACCCAGAAGACTATCCTGTAGGTAACAATCAGAGACTCATAGAACCATACAGTTGGAAGAGACCTCGTGGGCCATCCAGTCCAGCTTCCTGCCAAGAAATAGGAAAATCACATTCAAAGCACTCTCGACAGATAGCCATCCAGCCTCTGCTTAAAGGCTTTCATAGCACAGTGAGTTCTTTATCAGGCATAGACTGTAAAAATCATTGCAATGTCAGTCTCTCATAACTCCCTCTTACTTGTTTGATTCAGGTGCTGCTTAAGATGAGAGAGGATTATCGCAGATAGAGAACACAGCCCTTCTTGGCTTAAAGAGACTTGAAAGAAAGGCAGTAAAAGAAATATAAAATTTCCTTTGCCATTAGCCGCATCAAATCTCAATTATCAGCACCAAAAACCACTTTGTAGGCAGAGTACAGTGAACTTCTGTACAGTCAGACCTCCACAATTGCTGGAATTAAGGGCATATGACCACTGTGAAAGTCAATAAAGAGACATCGATTTTTTGATCTGAGAGAAAACCTCTCTAAGAATTTCTAGGTCTTCTTGGTAAACTTTCTCCGGAAGCTGAATGTAGAATCTTATTGGAGGATGTTGAGATTTCTAGAGAGGTGTTCTCTCTAAAAAATCTCTAGGTCCTCCACCATTATTGGAGGAAGGTGACCTCAAAGTCATACTAGAGCAGTGATTCTCAGCCTGTGGATACCCAGATGTTTTGGCCTTCAACTTCCAGAAATCCTAGCAACTGGTAAATTGGCTGGGATTTCTGGAAATTGTAGGCCAAAATACCTGGGAACCCGCAGGTTAAGAACCATTGTACCAGAGAACCTAGATGTTTTTAGAGAGAACGTTTGTTAATCAAATCCATGAGCGATCAAATCCACAAGTCAAAACTGCAGATATGTGGAGACAACTGTAATTGCTTCTGCTTTCCATTTCTTGAGATTAATTCGGTGTTAAAACATGTCAGTTAAAATCAGTTTCAAATTGCTTTACCTGACGTTGGAGGTAAAAGCCTCAGAGGGTAAGTCCTAGTCAGTTAGCTCTCTTTAGGGTAGTAGTCCTCCTTTCTAGTGGTTGGAATGTAGAATCTTAAATCCAAAAGTAAAAGAACTCATGTTTTTGTTCGTGATAACCACATTGGACCTACAGCAAAATACAAAATCAACATCATGATACCTTTATTAGGTCAAATAAAAGATGCAAAATGTATTCCATTAGTTGTGCCAGATGGCATCCTCATGTGACACAGATGGTAAAAATCATTTAGGGGAGGAAAGAAAGGAAAGATTAAGTTAGCATTACATATTTATCTATGATAGATTTCATTATTATGATGTTAGGAAACTTTTTAAACATTTTTACAGAGTCCTCTGAGAACATTATTCTAAATGTATAAGGTACAAGAGAGAACCTACTTCAAAATATTGATGTATTTGGAAAACTTCAGATTTGTTTCTGAAATGACCCATCTTATTCACATTTTCTTTCACATTAAGAGCAGGAATGGACAAAGAGTAGCCTTTCGACCACCAGTAATCCTATAGTTCGACTCTTAACTCCCCGGATCTGAAAAAAATCTTGTTAACCTTCTACATCTTTAAAATAAAGGCTTTTTTCTGATCTGCAATGAAGAAGGCAAACTGTAAATGTCAGATTGTATCCCATGAAATAGGAATGTGATCTATCACTTTTTGGTTAGGGAAACTAGCCGAGATCCATGGAAGGGTAGAAATGGTTCCTGGATTCTCAAAAGTTGTCCACTCCTGAGTCAGAGGAAAGGAACAACTGATACTATATACATCCCTTTCTGACAATGTTGATGTCCTTTTGCAGAGAGTTGTGCTGTGCCCATATCTGAAATCATTGCTGTCGAGGAAACAGAAATCAATACGAAACAATCTAAAACAGTGAAATGGCAAAAAATGACAAAACCACATGCATTCACAGGTAATACAATTCCACCATCATTTTTTTTTTACAAAAGGATTTTAATTGCTTACAAGGAAGGTGGTGCGTACAATGTGGTGCAAAATATGTGTACAGCATGGTTCAAAACAAACCTCAGCCCAATTGGCCGAGTTCAAATGTAGTACTACAGTATCGTTTAATGTTGTAAGCAAGTCGCACCATGGTTTAGCATTACAGAGAAACTTTACAGAGAAAACTATATTAAAATATTAAAAAAATAATATTCTGGAAGTGGTAGAAGGTTGAGTCCATTGAGATGGGGAAAGGTTTCAATTAATTCAGTGTAATTTATATCTGAGTGTATGTGCTATTGAGTTAATATATAAGAAGTTCTTTGAACAATGTCAGATCTTGTGTAAATTCAAAGTACTATTGTCTTTATGAGCTAATTTCACAGTGTGTTTAAAATCCTCTGTAAAGAGAACTCTGACACTTTTGTGTTCATAATTTTTCTTTTTACTACAGTGTACCACGTGAAGAGGGCACAAAATCACCGCTGGCGGTGCAATGACATAACATTCTGGTGCATTGATGAACATCTTTGTAATCAGTGGATCCTGGCACTAAAAGAATTACTTGATTTACAGAGTAAGATCAGGGAACAGAATTGGTTTTTCTGCTTATAAATCTTTGCCAACAAAGGGTTGGGAATAGGTTGGTGTATTCAATCCATGTGGCTATTACCAACCAAGAGCATCAAAACCGTTACACCATTTCTGCCTACATGTGGTGGGGTATGTAAGTTGGAAAGTGGAAGAAACAATATACATTTCTCCACGGTGAGACGTGTTCATTAATTTCTACTCTACCAGGAATGCACTTTGCTAGAATATCCAAGAAAATCTTTTCTGTCCTATGGCTTCCCCTATACAGAAAGTACAATTCTTAATATTCTTTAGTCTTAACTATAGCTGGATTTACACTGCCATATAATCCAGTTCTAAGCAGATAATTTGGATTCAGAAACTGGATTATGTGACAGAGTAGATAGGGCCTACATTACAGAAGGAGATTTTGCCTGAATTTTAGGTGAACCATCTTGATAGCAAGAGAAGTTTAATGGGACCAGTAACTTTCAGGGCTGTTGGGCCACCCTTAAGTTAGGGCCTTACAAGTAGCAGCTCCAGGGAAAGGGGGGAATTTCTTTCCAGCAAGCTGAAGCCTCTTTTCTTTTTCACTGAAGGACCAGACACACCAAGCTCAGATAAAGTAAATTTTAGAAATGCATTCTGGTTTCCTCCCCATATGACTCTACAACTTAAGAGTACCAGCTGTAACGTTACTACTAAACATTTAGACAAGGAAAACCAAACTCTACATGTCAGAGTCTCTGGAGCATGTTCAGAAAATAGCTTTAATAATATAGAAGGGGAAAAACATGAGCAGGACAATTACTACAATGCCAGTTATGTACTAAAATTAGACTAAACTCCATTATGTTTATATGAGTAAAAAAATTCAGAGAAAAAGGCTTATTTGCAAAATTTCCATCATGAATGGCTGTTGCTCTGGTTGTAATTCATAATAAAAAGCTATGATTTTCAGATTTACCGTTTTGCTCTACTTCTTAGCTATTCAAGATACTTTAGTTCTGGATTTACTACACTGAGCATGGAGTTCAATTGAATCAGGGGTGGGGAAATATAGGTTCTATATACTCCTAAGGCTGTTTTTTAGAAACCCAAGGGTCCCCAACAAAGTGTAGAGTGGACCGTTTGCCACATTTATCCCTTCCATCTCTCTTGATGGAGCCATGGAAATACCATTTAAAATGCCGAAAAAAGGAAAGGACACCTAAGAAGCATGGGTTATTTTAAACCTGTTTAAAATGGTTAGAAAATCAGGGACAAGAGGCCACAACTGGAGGATCTGACAGCCCACTGTTTTCTGCACTTCACCACTTTCTGGCTAAATGTTCTATCAGCCTTCCTCCAACTCTGATTCTTCAAGAAATAGCTCAAAACATTGGTTCTAAACTGATATCAAGATAACTGGTATAAATTAATCCCACTTGTATACACAATGATATTTTGACTGTTTCCTATATGCATTTTTCTACCTAAAGGGAATCCTTTTGCTGCCAGCATTAAATAAAACAATAAAAGATAAAGTGCTTTTAGAGAGATTTAGTTTTTAATCTTGCAGAGTTTTTTTTTTCATGCAATTTCAGTAACAGGTATAGAAAACAGAAACCACGAGTTCTCAGGGTTTTTACATTTTACAATTGCAGTTAGTAGATGTGATGATCAGTACTTTTACAAAGTAGCAAGAGTATAATTCAGGGAATTATTAAACTTCTATTTTTCCCTCATTCTGCTCTGCAATTAGCATCCTGGAAAGTGTTGGTGCATTACATCTACTATGATTAATCTTTTTACTAAGTAGGGCATTGGACCTTTCTGTAAATTTCATTACTCTAGAATTTTCTACATTCTGGAAAGAATATAAAGCTGGAGGAGAGTCATTAGTAACTACAGCGATGCTAAGATCAGAATAGGGAATCATTAATTCAGATCAAAAACAGGCCAGAACTACAAATATTCAAGATAAAGCCCCCAAAAGCAGCAGGAAGAAATCAGAACATATTGAATCTTAGGTGAGAAAATTGCAATGGACTCCATTGGAAACAAAAGCAAGGAAGGAATTTAGTTTACAAATGGTGGTGGCAAAAAACATGTGCCATAAAGTTGGAGGTGGCCCTAAACTGAAATGCAAGAAGATTTAACTCTGGTAGAGAGTTTGTGATAAATATTTTGTACCCATAATAACAGCTTTTATCCCATGTAAGCAATTGCTCAAAATATTAACAACATTTGTAATAGGCATGTGCATTTGGGCCAAAAGGCATGTCATTTTCAGATCCGTTTCCACCTGACCCCTCATTTTGTTTACCAGAAGGTTACTCAAAAGGGGAGGGAGGGGTGTTTTCTGTTTCATTCAGCAGAGATTCGGCCCATTGGCTACAACTGGAATCTTTAAAGGCTCAATCCCCAGCCATTTTAAGTTCTATCTGCATGAAACCTACCTTAGTTGTAGATCTCATTTACAACTGCAGGCCTGCCAAGTTTCAAAACAATTAACCAAACTACTAAGTTTTTAGAATTATTTTAAGTTTTAACTATAACATTTGGGAATTGTAGTCGCCGCTTGTATCCATTCTGAGCCAATCAGAGCATGGACTCCATCAGGCTTTTTACTGGCTGAGAGACACATAGAGAGAAAAACTTCAACTCCCATCATGCTCGGAGAGGATCTTTTAGTGGCCACCCTATGCTAGTGCCACTAGGAAAGTGAGTTCTATGGGCCCTCTCTGGAGGAAGAGGTAACTTTCCAAGAAAAAATGGAGGAGGCGTTTTCTGCCGGGGAGAGAAAGAGACACCACAGATCTCCCTGCCTCAGGTATTTTGTGCACTAAACACTTTCTGAAAACATTGTCTCTCTGAATCCATTTCACTGGTCTTTTCATCTCTCTCTTCCCCTTTCTGTTTCTGGGAATTAAACAAAAACGGCCATCTAAAAACAACAAATCTTTTCACTAACAGTGATTCAAGCCCAAGTCTAATTTGTAATGATCATGTTATTGCTCTGATCATGTTATAATTCTGGTATATAGCAAGTGAATAAATCCTATACAATTTTAAGCAAGCGTTGTACCCTTTTTTTGCTTTGACAGCCTCTAGACCAAAGCACTTGCTTGTATATATTAATCCATTCGGTGGGAAAAAACAAGGAGAAAAGATTTATGAAGAAAAAGTGGCTCCCCTCTTTAGTCTGGCTTCCATCACCACTGATGTCACAGGTGAGTTGTGTGGAATGATTCACTTTTCTTTATAGCAGACAGTGCATTTAATATAGCTTTATGCTGTGTGTACTTTAGCAGGAACAGCCTTGAAGTCAGCTTTATAATTTTACTGTATTAAAATGTTTGTGGAAGTGATGTCCAGATGTATATATTGAACCTGTAAAGGCTGGATAAAGATGGAGAATAAGACCACTGAAATCAAGGAAGTCACATGAACTTGAGTGGGTCTGCTTTACATATGCGTAAACCTATGTTCCTTTTCGTGGAAGAATCCATTGGCATGAAATTGGGCATACATGTACTAGATGGTGGCCTATACATTTACAGAGTGTAAATTCTGTTATTTTCTCTTGTAAAAGAAGGGCAAATATTCTCTTGATGGTCAGACACTTGTAGCCAATTCCCATTACTATCAGCTTTTGGAAGGGAACCTGCTCCCATTTACACAGAGCATTCACAACACATTACAGAACAAGGATGAGGAACATAGAGACCTCATGCACCTTCAAATAGTATTGGTGCCAAGAGGGGAGAGATTGAAATGAGTTATAATATAATGAAAACTGGAGACCCACACATTTTCCATCCCTGTAATATAAACATGGGTTTTTACTATGATTTCCCATTCAGTCTGCATGGGAGCTTGTAAGATGGTGCCACACGGCTTGCAAACTTGCGCCTCCTTCACACGAACACCTGTATTTTGTTCCTTAAGCCATGTTAAGTATTCTTCACACACACTTTATGTTAAATGTGTTGATTCTGAATATGTGAATAGGATCCACTGAACTGTAACTGGGGAGCCAGTATAGTATAGGGGTTTGGGTGTTGGACTAGGGCTATAAAGACTAGGGTTCAAATTCTCACTTTATCATGAAAACCCACTGAATGATCTTGTACAAATCATGCTTTCTCAATTGTGTTTCCAATGAGCATCTATCTTAAAACACCACTTGAGTGGTTTTACTTGTCTGTATTTGGACATAAACTAAAGCTCATGCAATGCAAAACAATACTCAGCATGGCTGATCAGCACTTCAGTCTTTCCTTCTCTCATGCAAATCCTATTGTCTTCTCACTGTGCTGAGAAACGTTCCTAAAAGATTAAATAACTGAAGGGCTTCCAGCAAGTTATATTTATGCACAAAGGAGGTTACTTTTAGAAAGCAGCTGCAAAAATTCCAATTCTCATATTTGGCACTTGAATACTTTCCAAGTCAATTGTGCACTCTCTATCCAAGTGTTGTTGTAGTTTTATCCTTTGGATAAATGGATGGATTGTCATTTAGTAACTGGTGTTATTCCTATTTAATTGTGCGGCACTTACTTTGAAAGTAGTTGTTATATTCCACAAACTTGGGTTTTTTGTGGTTGCCACAAACTTTGTTGAATTGGTTGATGAGATATTCATTGAAAAACTATAGCAAAATGTGCTGCAGGATGTCTTGCAAGAACAAAGCTTTTGCAATTTAATAAACTTTTTTCCATGTTTTTTATTATAGAACCATTGGAAATGACATTTATAACACAGGAACAAAAATCATGTTACATAGTGTAATTGGAATTATAATTCCCACCATCTTTTAGTCCATGTTTTGCTGGGTGAAACTGATGAGCCTTGTGGGCTGGAGCAGCTCTAGGGCCAAAGCTTTCCCACTGCTCATTAAAGCCAAAATTGTAATACCATCTCTCACCCCACATTTCTGGCTAAATGAATAATAAGTGTAGTTTTCCATGGGATGTGAGTATGATTCTGTGTTGCCCATTAAATAGATAAATTATATCTACATTGAATAAGGTGACTACATCTTGAATAAGACTATGATCCAATCCAACATGAGCCCTTGGTTTTTCAGACTGCTTCCAACTCACAATAATTGCCCATTTACTTAATGTGCTTTCTGCCTTGAGCACCCACGCTTTCTGAAAAAAGGCAACAAGAACTGAACCCGTGATAATGAGGGGAAATCATTCTCTATCTGATAGTTATTTTAGTGCTTCGGCTTATTGAATATTCTATCTTCATTTTCTTTTCCTCCCTCATAGTTACTGAACATGCCAATCATGCTAAGGATGATTTATTTGAAGTCAATCTAAATAAATATGATGGGTAAGTTTTAATCTCTTTCTTTCAGGGAGAACACAAAGATTGCAAGTGCTCTTTTTATTATATAAAAGAGGGTCTTCCCCTCCATAAAGACAGTTCATTTATGCCATGGGCCATACAAGCAAACTAGTATAGTCGGTCCTCGACATTTGCAGAAGCTGAAATAAAAGTGAAAAAACTTGAATAAAGAAATTGATTTTTTTTTTACCTGAGAGACTATCTCTCTAGGAATCTCTAAGTCTTTCAGCATGACTTCTGCTGAAAGCTGGGCATAGGATCGCACTGGAGGATATAGACCAGTGGTTTCCAACCTGTGTTCAAGTTCACTTTATTATGGTCATTGACCAGTTCATGAGAAGAGGAACACAGTCCCACACAAACACATCAGGTCTAAGGGCTGAGAGATTTAAAACTTTAAAACTCTAAAACTTTAAAATAAGTTTATCATTACCAGGACATCAAGACAATTAACCCAAGAATCTAAGCCAAAAGCCATATACAGGAGTATATCAAAGCCCAACACAATTAATAAAATTTAAAGGGAAAGGAGTCTGAAGGGAGGGGATTGGGGTGCTCATGTGACACAGGGAAGTCCAGGCAGACAGAGGAGGGAGCAGCATCCATACTATAATTAAAAGACTATAATTAAAAGACTATAATCCCAATTTTCTGCTAGTATGAAATCTTGACTTGTACTAGCTGGTATTATTAGTCATCGACTGCTGTGCAGAACTTGGCGACATTGTATGTTATAGCCAAGTTTGTATCTGAAAGCAGCAGGGAGATGTAAAATTGTCCAGAGCATCCTGGGTGTTTGCATAGCCATGGCGTAATGGCACGGGACTGAATATCTCTATATAACAGACATTGAAAAAGCACATATTATGTTGTCTCTATGTGTCCTGAGTCACAAGATCACGGTCTTGTGAAGTGCATGGTAACATGCCAGTGTGAAGGCCCAACCTGTGGTCCATAGACCACCAGTGGTCTGCAGGAACAAAAATGTGGTCCGCGGCCTCATCATTACGAGGTAATGAGAGTGACTGGTCTTGCAAAACCCTATCATAGTGTTGAGGCAACAGGGATGTTGGGAGGGGAGAGGCTGACTACCCATGAAAGATTACTACTACCACATCCGCTTTAGATTATTAAGTATGGATTTCTGTGGTTGAACAGATGGCGACCACTAGATGGCATATGTTCAGAAACTAGAGCTGATGTGGTCTATCCAGTGCAATTTTCTGAATCAAATAACCAAACAGAATCTAAAGTTGTCCAAAAACTGATTTGTAACCCTTTTGGTACTAATGTTGGAGAGTGGTCCCTGATCAAAGTGGTCCCTGATCAAAAAAAGGTTGGGAACTACTGATCTAGACCTTCCTACAGAGTTGTTCTTTCTGAAAATCTCCAAATCCTCCAGATGGCTGGAAGAAGTTGACTATAGAGTCACACTGGAGAACCTAGGTATTTCTAGAGACAATTTTAATCCAATCTGTGAATAATCAAATTCGTAAAAATCAGAATCACAAATATCGAGGGAAGACCCTGGCAAAAGCAAGAAGACTAGTGGACTAGCATTAGCAAGAGCTCCACACATCTGCTTGACTGCCTGATTTCTCCCATCCTCTCTTTTATCTAAGTTGATGAAAGCCATTGACAGGTCATAGTAGTCACATAGTGAGATTAGTCAATACCACAGCATATATCTCAGCCACCTTTTTAAGCCCCTCACTGCCTGACATTTTCAAGTATAAAGCTACATTGCTGAAAATCAATTGTAGCACCACCATCAAGTAAGGGGAACACTCTGGCACCATTCTGCATCATTGAGGGCTGTTTCAATTATGTTTTGATGGTCCTCTCAAGAAAATCTGTGGCTGCCACTGAATCATCATTGATGCACCAAAAGTGCTAAGCCATTGACTAGAGCTACGCTGCCCTATTTTCCAAGATCTGATTTCAGATTATCTGATTTGAATTGGATTACATGTGTTTAACTGCCATATAATCCAATTCAAAGCAGTCAATCTGGATTTTATATGGCAGTGTAGATTCGGCCTCAGAATTATCCAAAGGAGCCTCAGGATGAAATCCACACTTTGCCAAAAAAAAAAAAAATCACCTTGATGTAGTTAAATTAGCTTGCCCTAATTTATTTCATGGGATAGTTGCAAGGAAATGGGAAATATGTGAACTATTTTTTTGAGGAAGCAGGGTGGGCTAGAAATATAACAAATGGGCAAGCAAAGAAAATGGAAACAAAGCCAACCGAGCTGAAAGCCAAGATTATGGCCTGGACATTAGAGTTGACATTGAGACACCTGCCAAAAGTAGGCACAGCTAGATTAAATGAAAGTTTTATTTCTGCTGGGTTAAAAAGAGATCTTTAAATGTATCCTGCCATTGCTTGTTTGGTAGGCTTATGAGAAACAGTGGTGGCTTCATTATTGCTTAATAATAATAATAACAATAATACAAAATAATAGAAGTTTCTCTCAGCCAATAAAGTAAAATTGTACAATGTCTGTCAATTGCTTACTGTTAGGAAACATTTGCATGTTTATAGTACGCAGTAGTATACTTTCAGTAAATGTATTAATTTTTAAATGTTCTTTGAAAGGAAAAAATAATATACCTTGCACAAACTGACATTTAGACTAATTTACATTCTGATCCGAGTTTGTTGATACTGTTCATAACTTCTTGGAGCTTTGAAAAGTTGCTTGTATGACAGTTTCCAGAATCCCGAACTACCATCCCCAATTCTGGGAGTCATGAACCCAACATCAACTTTTCTAAACTGCCAGAACTACATGTTAACCATCTTAACCGAGCCTGATCTGGCCACGGTGGTCCACGCTCTTGTCACATCCCAAAAAGACTACTGAAACGCGCTCTACGTGGGGTTGCCCTTGAAGACTGTTCAGAAACTTCAACTAGTCCAGCGAGCGGCAGCCAGACTGCTCACCGGAGCGACATACAGGGAGCATACCACCCCCCAGCTGTGCCAGCTCCACTGGCTGCCGATTCAGTTCCGAGCACAATTCAAGGTGCTGGTTTTGACCTACAAAACCCTGTACGGTTCCGGTCCAGTGTATCTGTCCGAACATATCTCCCTCTACGTCCCGCCCCGAACTCTGAGATCATCTGGGGAGGCCCTGCTCTCGACCCCACCACTCTCACAGGTGAGGTTGGTGGGGACGAGGAGCAGGGCTTTCTCAGTGGTGGCTCCTCACCTGTGGAACTCACTCCCGGGGGAAATCAGGGCAGCACCATCCCTCCTCGCTTTCAGGAGGAGGGTGAAGATGTGGTTATGGGACCAGGCCTTTGGGCACTCCGGCAATTAAATCAGACAATCAGGCGAGTAAGACCAGCAGGATTGATGAAGTGGAACGTAAAACTAGATCTATGAGTTAGCGAACGCTGACCAGGTAAAAGGAGAAATTGGGTTTGTATTGGTTTTTATTGATTTTACTGATTTTATGTTAATAATGCATGAATTGTTGTTAACTGTGCTCTGATGTAATTTTGTGTATTTTGTGTATGATTGTTTTATGATGCAGGCATCGAATTGTGCCTTTGCTTTTGTAAGCCGCCCTGAGTCCCCCTCCGGGGTGAGAAGGGCGGGGTATAAGAACCCCAAATAAATAAATAAATAAATTTGTCATGACCTTATTTCCTAGTTTGATGTGAAGCTGGAAAATAAGGCCATGACACAGACCTTTCCGGTGTATATTTGAAATCTGTGAGAGGAGCAATGCGGGGGGGGGGGGGGCAGAGTGAGGCATGAGGGAAATAAACTGTCAGTTGTAACTTTGTTGTGTTTGCTACTGTAAACACTGTTTTTGAATTAAATCTTTCCAACTTTGTTTGTGAGGTACCCATATATTCTGGCGTATAAGACTACTTTTTAACCCAAGAAAATATTCTCAAAAGTCAGTGGTCGTCTTATATGCAGGAGTAGTCTTGTACACAGGAGTCGTCCTATACGCTGGAGTAGTCTTATACGCTGGGAGTTTTCTTATAGAGTGAGTGCTGAAACTTCCAATCTGGATTGGAAAATCTGTGGTTGCTACATATTGTGAGGGAGCTCAAAAATGGCAGTGGCCACATCCCTGCTGTATGCAGCGACTGTATGAAAGCATTAAGGGCGACGCTGTACAAGTATGGTAGAAGAAAATCCATTCATCAGGATTTGTGGACTTAATGCGATCCCGATGGTGAGCTGAAGGGGCGCCTCACCGGGAAGGTGTAAGTGAAGGGCGGAGCAAGCTGCAGGCGTTCAGGGCGCCTGGGGTATGGAAAAAAGAGATAGAGTGGCTCTGGGCCCAGAAACCACAACGCTTTTACCTGTCTGGCCCGCCCTTGTATCCTATTACCATACCTCCTCCTCTGCCTCTCAGATCTTGCTCCTAAAGATTGCAGTGAAGTGGTGCAGGTGCATAGGTGCAAGATCTGAGAGGCAGAGAAGGAGGTATAGTAATAGGAAATCAAATCTGATGCTTTAAAAATTTTATTTAGTGTGTGTTGGAAGAGTTGTAGTCTTATACGGCGAGTATATCCCAAACTCTATATTTTAACTGAAAAGTTGGGGGTCGTCTTATACACCCAGTCGTCTTATATGCCGGAATATATGGTAATTATTTCGCCAGAAAGATCCGGACAGCCTTATGTATAGCAAAGTTCACCTGTCATTTGAATGAAAAAGCAAATAATCTCCTAAAGCCTAAAGTTCTCATTCCACACTCTAAACCAGTGGTTCCCAACTGTTGGTCCTCCCAGTGTTTTGGACTTCAACTCCCAGAAACTTCAGACAGCTTGGCCAATTGTCAGAAAATCTGGGAGCTGAAATCCAAAAAACCTGGAAGACCAAAAGTTTGGAACCACTGAACTAAACCTACACTTGTTAATTCATGTATTTCTGCAGACCTGATTGTGCAGAATGAATTAAACTCTTGAGTTACTCTGCTCATGTAAAGGTTTCTAACAGTCACAGTTTTTTGGCCATTAATCCTTCTCTAATTACTACAACAGTGAGTCAAATAGTATTGAGATTCCAATTACCCTTGGTATAAAGATGGTTGCAGGAAGGGACAGGTATCTTGTATCATTCCGAAGGTAGAGAATATATAGATGCTGTAGTTGCTACAGACAGATTCGCTGGTGGTTCCAAGCAACATTTGGGAAAAGGCTTTCAGTTTATCTCCTTCAGACAGGCTGACCTCAGACTAGAAGATAAGACTGTGAATCCAGAACTGAGGGATTTCTCCAGCTGATTATAGCCTATAGCAATGCACTATTTCTTTGATTCTATCCCCACCCCACATATAAAAATCTCTCAATATGGGGTGCATCTTAGAATCACATGAGCTTTTCTTATATAAACATAAATGTGTTCTTTTTCTGTTTGTAGTACCAAAATTAGTATACATGTTACCATTGGGTTGTTGTGAGTTTTCCGGGCTATATGGCCGTGTTCCAGAATAATTTTCTCCTGACGTTTCGCCTGGCATCCTCAGAGGTTGTGAGGTCGTTTGGAAACTAGAAAAATTGGTTTATATAACTGTGCAATGTCCCGGGTGGGAGAAAGAACTCTTGTCTGTTTGAGGCAGCTGTAAATGTTTCAATTGGCCACCTTGATTAGCATTTAATGGCCTAGCAGTTTCAAGGTCTGGCTTCTTACTGCTTGGGGGAATCCTTTGTTGAGAGGTGATTAGCTGGCCCTGATTGTTTCTTGTCTGGAATTCCCATTTTTGAGTGTTGTTATTTATTTACTGTCCTGATTTTTGAGGTTTTTTTAATATTGGTAGCCAGATTTTGTTCATTTTCATGGTTTCTTCCTTTCTGTTGAAATTGTCCACATGCTTGTGGATTTCAGTGGCATCTCTGTGTAGTCTGGCATGGTGGTTGTTAGAAAGGTCCAGCATTTCTGTGTTCTCAAATAATATGCTGTTTGCAGGTTGGTTCATCAAGTGCTCTGCTATGGCTAACTTCTCTGGTTGAAGTAGTCTGCAGAACCTATCACTGCAAACTAGTTACTACCATTGCTACCAAGTTACACTTGATGGCATCTTAGAATCAAATATAGACATTATTCCAAAAGTTTTATTTTTGTGATATGTTTCCTGGAATACCCCAAAAAGCATGGTCATTGGCTATGCTGGATGTGAAATTCTGGTAGCTGTTATTTCAAAAAGGAATTTCCCCAAACATTATCTATATTCTTATCACTGCTTCTCAAGGCAACATACTTTGCCTGGTTATCAAACTCCTGAATTCAGCAGTCTCTAGCAGAAAAGCAAGCCAGTTTCTGTTTGAAGAAGAGCAAGTGTGCTCAGCTTTCAAATGGATCCAAGTAAACCTGTCCGCTCAGCATTCCTTGAAAGGTTTCAGAAATGATAACTTCTCCATTGTAGAGGGATTTTCTTTTTACTGATGATAAATTTTCTCCCTTTCCCACTTGTCCCCTAGTATCTCTTTAATGAAAGTGATATCTCTTTAATAAAAACAGTCCCAGAGGGATTTTATCCTGTGAAAGGCATTTCTCGTGATTTCTGCTTTCAGTGAGCAGTTAGGATCCCCTCTGAATTGAATGTTAAGACCTAACACAACTTTCTTGTGCTCGTCTCTTAGTAATTGATCACCGCCGAGCTCAAACATTGCCTTTAGAGAGATATTGAAAATGTCTTTCTTTTTCTCCATTATGTTGTGTTCCCAGTACATGACATTTATTTATTTGCCAGTTGTGCATAGTAAAACAGGTACATAAATATGCAACTAGGCTTTTATGAAGAATACTAAGAATGGGAATAGCCATACTATACAATTATTACACTGGCCAACACACCTTTTGGTGAATCAAATATTAGACCTGTTTCTGGGTATATTTGATCTGTTGATTTCAAAAATGGCACCAGTTTTCCCCTCTCCACTCTATTTTTGAGATATAGAACATAACCATCTACCTGTCTTCATGTACTCATCCATAGAAAATTGTGATAACCACATCTAAGAAACTAGAGCTGATGTGGTCTATCCAATGTAGTTTTCTGAATCAGTGCCCCAAATAACTCCAGGAACAGGCCTAAAAACCAAGGCACCAAGAAATTTCTTTTGCTTGTGTAATGATTTAATTCCACATAGGCTCTGTACTATGTGATCCTAGTTTTGTAGTCCTTTTAGGGGCTGCAGTGGTGCAGTGGGTTTAACTGCTGAGCTGCTGAACTTGCTGATCAGAAGGCTGGTGGTTCAAATCCACGGGGCAGGGTGAACTCCCACTGTTAGCTCCAGCTTCTGCCAGTCTAGCAGTTTCAAAACACACAAGTGTAAGTAGATCAATAGGTACAACTTCAGCAGGAAGGTAACATGCTCCATGCAGTTATGCTGGCCACATGACCTAGGAGGTGTCTACGGACAACACCAACTCTTCAGCTTAGAAATGGAGATGAGCACCACCCCCCAGATTTGGACAATAGACTTAATGTCAAGGGGAAAACATTTACCTTTAGTTTAGGCCCCTTTTATACTGCCACATAATCTAGATTATCAAAGTAGATAATCTTGATTATCAAAGCAGATAATCCACATTATCTGTTTTGAATTGGATTGTATGAGTCTACATTGCCATATAATCCAGTTAAAGGCAGATAATCTGGATTTTATATGGCAGTGTGGAAGGGGTCTTAGTGTCTTGGTCTCTATATAAGTTTCCATCTGCTGTCTGAATTTGGAGACAATTACAACTATTTGTTTAAAATCTCCCATTAAAAGAAAAAGTATTGCACAGTGGGTATTTGCCTTGTCTTCCTCAGTTTGTTTCACCTGATGGTTGTGATGCTCCTCGCATAAGAACCATTGAAGCTAGACATAATAATTTAAAATTGCAACAAGAAGCACCGTTCTCCCCCATTTAATTTTTTGAAATTATATTTTGAATTATATTTCCAAGATACATTATCTGCATTAAACCAATCTGAGGAAGTTGATAGAGCAATGTAAAGCAAAGACTTAATCAAATTAATAATGTCTTTTACACATTGGAGCTTTTGACACATTCATTTATTTACTGTCAACGTGAGTTTTAATTTATGTGTTTTTCTGGCAGTGTTGTTTGTGTTGGTGGGGATGGGATGTTCAGTGAAGTGATGCATGGCCTGATTGGAAGAACGCAGAAGGATTTTGGCATCGATCAAAATAATCCCAAAGCATCATTAGCCCAATGCAATATCAGGATTGGCATAATTCCTGCTGGTAAGAATTGCAACACAATGAATGTCATTTGTCCATTGTTGTTATTGTTACTTCTTAATCAACTTTGAGCCAAAATGGACCTCTTGAAAAAAGTACCAACCATATTTATACAGGAACCATAACCAATATTAAAACAACTAACATAGAATCCTAATACTGATATCATTAGAAATGCATATGTGAAAATAGTAGCTTTCCAGACATTTTGGGCTGCATTTTGTATATTCTGATTAACACTGTTGGCTAGGGTTGATGGGGGCTGTTGTCCAAAAGCTCTCTGTTTTGTCCTTACATGAAAACTGAATGTCATATTTTTCATGCCTTGTTAGCATCCATGAAATACATTTCCCAGAACTATCCATTCTGTCTACATGCCTTGCCCCTTTCAGTGATATCTTTTTAAAAGAACCTGTTTATAGTTAGGGAATGTAAACTTTTGCATATAGTAAATGCAGTTTTAAGAAATTAAACATCAGTTGGACTTCTCTAAAGAAAGAACTTGGGATGTTGACGTGACATTTTACACTGTTTTGCTACTTCCTCACTCCTCTAGTACGAACCTTTGACACATTTAGGCAATTTCCCTTTCAACAGGAAGAAAAATCCTTCAAAGGGGCCCGTCTAAACTTTATTTACTTAGGTTGCGATCCTTTTGTAAAAACTGCTTACTGGAAAACATACTTAATACACTTGATCTTAGCCAAAAGGCCAAGAAGCGATCCAGACATATACTGGATTGTACTGATACTTAACCCTGGTTGGGATTTCAATAGGTCCTTCACACGTCTTACTGAATCAATTTAAATTATGATAAGACCAATGAAAACAAACACATTAAAGCACACAATGGTATGGAAGAACAGTCTAAAAGCAGTCGGGAGCAAGAAAAACAAACACAAGCCAATAATTTACAGAAGATTACATCCACTAATTAACAAGTTTCAAAACATAAGGGAATGATAGCGTTGTAACTCCCCCCCCCCCCCCCCCCCCCCAAGAGCTTTAACAAAAGAATACTTTTCTTACCTGATGAATAAGGGGCTCTGGGGGTTATAACAGAAGCAAAGTATTTTTTACAGAGAACCAGAAGATGATTTCTCCAGGAAGAAGTCTTTCTTTTTCCCACAATAAAGAGGGTGTGGGGGATGTATCAATATATAAATAGCTCAACACCCAACTTCTACAATCTGATGCACATACATTTATTTTCACACATGTATCTACATTTGGTTGCCCACAGACACACACTTATGCCATTGTACAGACACACCTATGTAGTTGCAATCATGTACATCTTGGGTTCATGTGTCCTGCATTGGAATGGTGTAAACATTTTATCTTCAGCTCCTTTAAAGAATCCAAAACTCAGAATACACTTGTTCCCCAATGACAGGGGTGTTACTAGCAGTTGGATTCATGTGTCATTTGTTCATAAAACACACTGGGAATCTGGAGACTGTCAAATGTAGATAGTATATTTATTTATTTTATTTACAGTATTTATATTCTGCTGTACTCACCCCGAAGGGACTGAGGGCGGATCACAGGACATATATACAACAAACATTCAATCCTAATTATACAGTGACAAGACAGACAACAGGTAGAGGTATATATAGGCTTTCCCATCTTTCAGCATCTTGGAGGCTGTGCCATCTTGGAGGCTGTGCCACGGGAGTGGCGGGGGGGGGGGATGCTGTGACTCCATCTCCCTGCCAAAGAGCTTTCTTTTATTCATAATTTCCTCCTTTTTCTGATCAAAACACTGTACCTTAATACCTACCCATTTTAACACTATACCTATTTATCTACTCACATTTGTTTTCAGTCTGCTAGGTTGACAGAGAGCTGAGCTAAGGTCAGGAGCTCACTCTTACCCGGGCTTCAAACTGTCAACCTTCTGGTTGGCAAGATTTATTTCAGCTGGTCGTTAACCTGCTGTGCTAAAGCCCAGCCCTTTATATTATTCCCCAATATAGGGAAGGAAATGCATTTTGTAGTCCAAACAACAACTTGTCCAAAATGCTGAAAACATTGTTCAGTTCCCTGTCATGAATGATTGCTTTTATTAGAGACTTTGCCTTTTTGATGGGGTGTAATGCTGTACCAGTAACATGTCCCGCCAGGGCTCGAAGCATCAGCTTGACTCTACTTTGCCGTTAATTAACTTGCAGAGGATTCAGTAGTGTGCTGTGTAAAGAGTGGCCCAAATGGTTCAATCTACACTCCTCATTTAGCTGCACTCATCTCTCCAGTCTGCCAAGCAAATCAAAATTTTGCTTAAACACACACTAAGTCTAATTCTTTTGTTCCACTCTTGGCAAATAGCAGCAGCTTGACAAAAGGATTTTCACTGCAGTCTCTGTAACAATGGATCAATCTCTCTCTACACCTCTCTAGAAACATTGCACTGACCCTTCTGCCTTTGTTATCAAATGGACTAGAGGAAAGCAAACACCACTACTTCTGCCTGTCATGCTGCATAAAATGGTTAGAGAAAGAGAAGGGAAAGTGTGTGTCCCTCTTGCTGGATTGAAAACAACCATCTATGTTTGGCTCAGTCAAGCTTATTATCATGCCCTGAGCAATTTTCAGCATATTACTTTGAAGACCCTGACAGAAAGCTATCTTGGTCTGCAGCAAAGACAAAGTCTTGTAAGAACTTGCCAACTTAAAATATGTAATTTGTGGCTTAACCTTTCTTAGACTGAGTCTGCTACACCACATACAAAAGCAGCAATGAAGGAATGCCGATGTCACCATCCAACATACTGTTTTGTGCATGGATGCTATTAAAATAATTATCACTATCTAAACCCAAGGCATTACAGTTCTATGTGATGTTATGATTCACAATTATTTCATCAGCAATTTTCAACATTAACCAAGTACTGTACATATATTTCTGCCAGTTGGGGACAATGCTCCTTGCTGTCTGTCTGTGTATTGTCTATACAAAGCAGCATTGAATGTTTGCTGTATATGTGTGTTGTGATCCCTTTGGGGTGAGAAGGGCAGAATATAAATAAAGTATTATTATTATTATTATTATTATTATTATTATTATTTTGCATCAGAAGAGAAAGCCACCTTGAGTCCTTGTCTGATGGAAAGGAAAGAACGAAAGAAAGAAAGATCATTTAAAGAAAGCATAATGTCAAAATAAATTTGTCAGTTCATAACACCTTGTTTTTGAATGGCACAAATTTGACAATGCTAATATTTATATATGAAATGTTCACATACACATACCGTTGCCAAAAGTCCTAAGTCAGAGTCATAAATTATCAGAAACACTGAAAGCTCTCAGGAAGTGCCAGCCAATGATGTTAATAACAATCACTCTTTTCTGATATATGTTCAAGGCGTGAGGAGGACTATACATCTGTTTTCAGGCATTCATAACATTGATTGAAGATAGCAAACTATTTCCTAGGAATGTCAACATTCAATAAGTCTATAATGAATATTTAGACTTATTGAATGTTGACATTCCTAGGAAATAGTTTGCTATCTTCAATCAATGTTATGAATGCCTGAAAACAGATGTATAGTCCTCCTCACGCCTTGAATATATACATGTCTTCTTGCCACTTCTATTTCAGAAATTGGTATCTCTTTATTTCTTGGTTTACCTTTTTATGTTTTTGCGGTGTAGGATTCCAACACCAGGCAGCTAAATTTGGTGTTTTTCAAATCATACAAAATGCAAGGTCAGCTTGTGAATTGCCAGTTAATAAGTTAGAGGCTGAAGGGAAGTGTACCAGCCCTGCAGAGAAGCCTAGACAAACTGTTAGATGATTAGATTATTAGACTGCATAAACAATTGTGTGCCTGCCCATGGGATTAATTTTTGCCTGAAAAGGTAAAAAAAAATACTTATTTTCTATCTGAGCACTTAAAACGATTCTAAGGGTAACTGCACTCACGGTATAGCCATAGCATTTCATACTGTTTCTGTGTCTTTTTCCTATTGAAATACTGGGATTAAAAATTTATAACATACTTAGAAATGTTGTAAGAAGTTGTAGCTCAGGAAGTGCATTTGAGCTCTTTGAAGTGGGCTTTACATTGTTCCCTTTTATATATTTTCACAATATTGTTAAGGTGGGAGAAGTAACAAATTTACTCATTTTGCCAGGTTCAACAGACTGCATATGCTATGCAACAGTTGGCATCAATGATCCAGTAACATCCACATTACATATCATCATTGGTAAGTTGTCAGAATGTGATGTTAGTGCAGGACAGAGCTGGAAGCCTGTGAGCTCCAATAGCTGTTAAATAACCTTATTTGGAAGAGTCTGAACTATCAGAAGGAGGGTTTGGGGTGAAGGAGGAGACATGCTGACCTGAACTTATGGTACTTCTATCTAAGACAGAATCTATATTTATTTATTTATTTATTTATTTATTTATTTATTTATTTATTTATATCCTGTTTTTCTCCCATGGATGGCATTCAAAGCAGCGAACAATGCCCAGGGGAATCCTTTATTGGGAGATATTAGCTGGCCCTGATTTTTTCCTGTCTGGAATTCCCCTGTTTTTTTAGTGTTCCTCTTTATTTGATTTTTGAGTTTTCTAATACTGGTAGCCGGATTTTGTTCATTTTCATGGTTTCCTCCTTTCTGTTGAAATTGTCCAACATTTCCCAACAAAGGATTCCCCCAGGCAGGAAGCAGCCAGTCTTTGAAGCTGCAAGGCCATTCAATGCTAATCAAGACGGCCAGTTGTCACATTCACACCTGCCTCTAGCAGACAAGAATTCTTTCTCCCACCCTGGATATTCCACAGATATATAAGCCTCACTTACCTAGTTTTCGACAGACCTCACAACCTCTAAGGATGCCTGCCATAGATGTGGGTGAAACGTCAGGAGAGAATGCTTCTGGAATATGGCCATACAGCCCAGAAAACTCAAACCAACCCAGTGGTTAAAAGAATAAAAATTACATGACACAAAAGCACAACAACATGACCTCAAATAAAACAGATAAAACAAATACCCCATTACATAAACCATATAAACAAGCTTAATAAATAGGTCATTTACTATTAAAAATGTCCTGGGCCTCAGGCTCAGGTTATCCATAAAAATATAAAACTAAAAATTCTATAAGCACCACTTCTATGTGAACACTGGTGGACTTTGGGGAAAATAGACCTTGATATTTGGGAGTTGAAGTTGCTTGGATTTATAGTTCACCTCCAATCAAACAGCGTTGTGAACCACACCAGTGATAGAATTGGGCCAAACTTCCCACATAGAAACCCCATGACCAACAGAAAACATTAAGAGAGGTCTTTGGCAACCTCTCTGACACCCCCTCGTGATCCCCCCCCCATCCTGGGGGTCCTGAACCCCAGGTTGAGAAATGCTGCCCTATAGCAAATATATTGACCCCTTCTATATGAGAATGGCCTGTAACCATCATCATTGATTGCTGGCCTCGGACACAGATTCCAGGGATGCCTTTTATTTTTCTTTATTAAGTTTGCATTTTCTCAGTGGCTTTTTGCTTTCCCTTCCCTAGTCCAGGTTCATGTAGAATACAAACAGTTGGCATCTTAACAGTGCCATAGCTTAACTCTAAGCATAACCAGAGCATAGGACTCTGCATTTTGACATTCATGGCACAGTACGGATAAACATCAGCTTTGCTAGTTTAGTACTTAATCTGCTGTTTCCAGCATCTGCTTGAAAACTATACTGTAGAAACCTATTTTCAGTTAGTATAGAAACTGTTCTTGCATTTTTATAGATACAGATGCATGCTATGAAGAGTTTCATTTCACAAATGATTGCTGCATTTACAGCTTAAAATATGTAAGCGGTCCCATCATCACACATGTCTCTTGTCAACAGGAGACACACAACCTTTGGATGTCTCTTCAGTACATCGCAATAATGCATTTCTGAAATACTGTGTATCATTATTGGGTTATGGTTTTTATGGAGACGTTTTAAAAGACAGCGAACAAAAGCGCTGGATGGGTCCTGCCAGATATGACTACTCAGGTAAAGTTTTTGAAAGTTTATTTCAACCAGTCTGCTATACAAACCATATTTCCTTCCTTCCCTCTTTCCTCCCTCCTTCCCTCTCTTCTTCCTTCATTCCCTTTGTCTTTTCTTCCTTCTCTCTTTCCTCCCTCCCTCCCTCCCTCCCTCCATTCTCTCTCCCACCCTTCCTTCCATCCTTCTCTTCCTTCCTTCCTCCCCTCTCTTCCTTTCTTCCTTCTCTTTTTCCTTCCTCCTTTCCTCCTGAATATTTAGCTGGGAGAAAAGAGGATAGAGAGGGAACACAAGAATCATGTTTCAAGATTTAAAAGGTTGTCCCATTTAGGAGGCTGGGGAAAATCAGATTGTCTGCTGCTCTAGAGCCAGGGCACAAAGGAGCAATGGTTTCAAATGGAAGGAAAATACATTCAAGATTAGGAAGAACTTCCTGAGAGTAATCGCTATTGGAAAATGTCATAGGCTGCCTCGGAGTGTGATGAGTCTCCTTCTCTGGAGGCTTTTCCGCAGGGGCTGTCTATCGGGAGTGCTTTGATTGTACCTTTTTGCTTGTCAGGGGGTTGGAGTGGATAGCCCTTGGGGGTCTCTTCCAGCTCTGGGATTCTAGGATTCAATATCAGGAGTAGGCAATATGGGGTCTAATGGATACACATTTTCTCTCCTGTCCACCATCTCATCCTGACCAAGGCCAACCCTTTTGGGATCCAAACGTTTCCTGCCTTTCCTTCACTTTCTGCCTCCAAAGGAGAAGAGGAAGGGGAGGAAAGTGCAGGGAGAAGACTTGGGAAGAACCCCCTCCCTCCCGGCCCACCCACCCTGCTCAGGCCCACCATGCGGCCCCCAAGTTAGAAAATTTGCCCACACCTCTTTTATAATAAATCTGTTAGTGTTTAATTCCCATCTTTTGATATTGTGTGATTTTAATTGCTGCATTCAATGTTTGCCTTTTATATGTATGTAAACCTGAGTCCCTTTGTGGCGAGAGGGTGGTCTAGAAATAATAATAATAATAATAATAATAATAATAATAATAATAATAATAATAACAAGACCTAAATAATTTTTGAATACTTTTCTCTCTTTTAAAGGTTTCAAGACCTTTCTATCTCATCATTATTATGAAGGAACAGTTTCCCTTCTACCAGCAACACACGCTGTGGGGTCTCCAAGAGATAAGAAATACTGCAGAACAGGGTAGGCTAAGTAACACTTGGTATATTTTTTCACAAGCAGGGATGGCAGCCTCATGCCTCTGAACATGAACTTTGCATGATATTGGACTCACAAACCTTGATTTAAGAAAGATGATTTCTATGAGTATGTTTGTAATACATTGATCATATTCCTTTGGATTCTGCTTTAGGAATCATCTGTCTTTCCCATGTAAGAAAATTTTTGGTTATGAGACTTGTATTTTGATTCCTTGTTAAGGATACTATGAACTTCAATAAGCATTGTTTGTACATTGAATGTTCTATGTCCAAAGCATATATATAAATAACATTCTTATGGTTTAGATTATTGGATTATATTTTTGTTTATAGGAGCCTCTTGCCAGTGTACTTTGAGGGATCCTTTCTCTGTATTGGAGACAGGGACATGCAATATATCTTTAGCCCAGTGGTTCTCAACATGTGGCTTCCCAGATGTTTTAGCCTTCAACTCCCAGAAATCCTAACAGCTGGTAAACTGGTTGGGATTTCTGGGAGTTGTAGGCCAAAACACCTGGGGACCCACAGGTTGAGAACCACTGCTAGCCTCTCTCCTTATAAGACAAAACCAGCAAGCAACATTCCCTTGGAGTTTCTTGAATATATAAATGTGTGTGGTTCCCAAGCCATCTTAATATTTCATCCATCCATTTAGATATGTATACTATTATTTATGGTAAGGATCCTCTCTTCTGGAGAATATGAGAAAATGGATTAATCTGCAAGACCTCTTCTGAGGCTTCCAAATTTCACTTCTCAGTTAAGGGGATTGGGAATGCATCTTCAACAGGATCCTGTTATGGCCTAAAGTGACAGAGGCAACATGATCTCTAGGTATTTGATTACATTTAAACCCCTGTGGTCAATGGTATAATTCTATGTCTAGACTTCTACCCAGGCATGTTTAATGGATTCCCATTATGGAGCATGCTATTCCCCTTTTGGATCCCACACAATGTAGAGGGGATTCATTTAAGGTTGCAGACTTGCCCTACTTAGCTCTACCTCCATTCTACTCTTATTTTGCCCTAGGCAGCCATGAGAGTCTCCTCAAAATCTGCAAAGCCCTTTGTAAATAAAGGTATGCTCCCTTTATAACACTGGCAGGATTAAGCACAGTGAATGCAACTAGTACAAAGAGAAAGGTTGTTAATTTTCTAGTTGACCCCCCAATGGAAAATCTTAAGTATTCAAAAAATGCAGTCCTCAAACTCAGTCGATTCTAAAACAAAATTCATTGAGACATGAGGTTTCCTGTTTATTTATCTTGTTTGCAGCAGTTTGCAATATTGCAAACAGTAGCAGCCAAAGGAATGAAATGTTAATATACCATTGCATTACCTCCATTATCCATTCTGCATTCTAGTCTGACTGGTGTGGAAAATTCATGTTAATTCGTGTCTTTCAGGTGCCGTACTTGCAAGCAAAGTAAACAACGGCTGGAGAAGGAGCAGCGAAACCATGAAAAGGGGATTAAAGGTAAATTTAGAGTTTATGCAAATCCAGTCCTAGGTAACAAAAAGACCTCCTTCAAAATTTTCCTTCACTCTTTGAAGTTGTCAATGAATGGGAATGATAGAACATGTTAAAGATGTTTGGTTTTAATGTCTCACCAGTTTTCTTTGTTCTGCTTTTCCAATCTACAAAACATTGCAGTGGATTCTTCTTTAAACTGGTGGATTCTTCCTTAAACTGAATGGACAAGTATGGGATTGTGTTGCAAACCATCTTTCAGCACTTCCTTGTCTAGACAGGAAATATGTGATTAATTCCACCATAAAATTGTTTTCTCTATGTACTGGAGTGACAAAAACAGTTCCTTTCTATCAGTGCTTTGCTTTCAATAAGAAAACTGAAATCACACAGCAACACTGGGGAGAGTCAGTGTTTGCAAATGTGAAATATTTTCAATTTTAGTATCTCGGTAATGACTATACGTGATATACCCAGTTTCTGTACATATCTCATCAAACCAGCAATGTTTTAACATCTGTTGAAAACAGTAGGAAGCATCTTTTTGTCCCCCACCTTCTTAAGTGTATCTCCTTATGTTTTAAGGGAAAGAAGAAGGAGAATGGAAGGTTATTAGAGGAAAGTTTCTAGCCATCAATGCCGCAAACATCAGTTGTGCTTGTCCACGGAGCCCGAAAGGCCTTTCACCAGCTGCTCACTTGGCAGATGGCTCTGCAGACCTCATTCTAGTCCGGAAATGCTCTCGGTTAAATTTTCTAAGGTACCTCGTAAGGCATACTAACCAGGATGACCAGGTGTGTATTGTCTTGGTGATATTTTCAAGGGTATGTGGGATGGTACAACCCAATGTAGATTAATGTTCTTGTAAAATGGACAAGATGTTCTGGTAACAGCTTTTTGGAAACTTTAACATTTCCATTTTAATGGGATGCTTTTCTAATAATAGCACTGTAACAAATCACCCATTTGTGTTCATCCTGCACTTCCAGCCCTTACAGCTTTTAGCACTGAAGCTTTGAACACCTTGCTCTTTTCCTCCTAAAATGCCTTCCTAGTTTTGGTTCTCAGGCCCCTCTGTGACCTCTGTAAAGGACAAAGTGGATGTGTTGACCAGTGGGTTCAGTATGGTCTTCCTTATTAAATTTTATATCTTCTGGCAGACTGACAGGAAATAAAACAGTAAAGGTTCGTTGTATGACAAACATCTAGCTTTATGCTGGTTCCACACACAGTAATACCTCCATTTCACAGATCTCTGCCCACCCTCTCAGCTCCCAAAACCTCAATGCAGATTTCCACCATTCTCTTCTTCCTAATTGGTCCTCTCCATCCTGATCATTTAACCCATTCCTGCTTGCACTGGTATTCACAGGGTGTTTCAAAATGATGGACCCAATTTCAAAGCAGTCTATTTCATAATGGCAGCATGTTACATTTACAGAAATAGTTATAAACAGGTTAACAAGTTATCAAGTTTTGAGCCAGAAACAACTTTTAAAAATAACCCCCCAAATGGAGAATATCTCATTAGGCCTCATGTTGCAGGGTTGCTATGCTGTCGCACCCAAGCTACTTAAAATGTCTTTAGTGCTAACGGGTCTTAACTATCTATCAGCTCGGGGGATGCTGGTTTGCCTTCCTGTTTGAGCAAGGAATCCCACAGAACCAATATCCCCGCTATTGCTTTAAAGAAATTGCAATGATTTCTTAATTGGTCTTGGACCTATTTCCACTAAGGCACTATCATGGTTTCCCCACAACAAAGTCCATACTTAAAGTTTAAAGCTAACTGGTTGTTCTTGAAGTCATTGCTAGTGGATAACTCTGGAAACAAGGGACATATGAAAGTTTTCATCTCACTTTTTCTAGTAAAGGGACCTCTGGAACGCCCAATGTCCAAGGTAATCAGGCTGGAGTCTGAGAGAGCAGGTCTCTCCTATTGAGGCCTGGCACCTTGCTGAAGGCGCTGGAAACTCCACAGGCTGCCACTGACCAGCAGTAGATCAGTACAGTTGAATGAGTTCCCAGAATAGCGGTGATCAGTATTGGTTTGAAATGGCCTGGCGAAACCTGGATCTTGCTGTGACCAAGTATAGACATGTCTTACTTCCAAGATTCCCTGGTGGTAACAACTCTAATCTAAAATGACTCCCTTTCCCCAGGCAAAGGGGTGGGCAAACTTACTGAACCAAACCAGAAGGGTTTCCTTAAACTCTACCCTCATAAGCTAACAGAAAAATAGCTACTTTCAAGCTGTTGGTGAGTCAGCGTAACAAAAGGAACTGGGAGTTATACAATTCCATCACGGTTGCCATCTTGCAAATGACTGAGACAGGGGCTGTTTGTGCACTGAGGGAATCATTTGAAACCCTATGCTCTACCCTTTCAAGGGGAATAGTTTCATTCATGGGTGGTTCAGGGTTGCAGAGATATAGCGATCTCAAATTAGGTCCATCATTTTGAAACACTTTGCACTTCTACCTGGCCCTATCTCTTTTTTTAACTGGACCTCTCCACTTTTTATGCTTCTATATTTGTCCAACTACATCCCGCCAGCTCAGCATTCCTTAAGCTGTGATTGGCTTGTTGTTCCCAGCTTGCCCAGCATCTCACTTTAGCATCTGAGTTGCCAGCTGCTCATTTATCCTACATCAGTAGTCACATAGAAAGGGAAAAATAGCAAGTGAATGCTCTTGTAAAATGCAGGCGGTCTCAAAGCTGGAATTCTAGCAATGGGAACCAAGTGCTTCATTGACTATCTTCAATCACAGTGGTTGGCCAGTGGAAGCAGGTGGCTTGCATACAGCTCTAGTACCACCACTTTGAATATTGAAAGGGCAATATTAGCTACCCAGCAGGAATCCTAGAACTGAAGGGTTGAGTTCCATCTGGCCAGTAAAAGCTCCTGACTTTGGCTTGAGTCCTCACTTGGAGCGGTTCATGGCAAAGGTACTAGCAGAGCTTGGAAACTTTTTTTAAAAAAATGGATGGCATCTCCAGATCACCCCCTCCTCGGCCAACATGGCTACTGGCCATTTGTACTAATACATTGTGAGGCCTGCATTCTAAAACTTTTCCAAGCTCTGATTACTAAACACCTGTCCTTTCTGACCAGCTTTACTGCAATCTGTCTAGCGATCTCTTTGTTGTTGTTGTTTCTCATCTCCCTGCTTGGTCATTGCATACAGGTCTCAGAGTCCTTCCACCCAGCCCTTTATCCCAGAATATCAAGGTAGAAAATCCCATAATATATACTTTGAACTGGGTTATCTGAGTCCACACTCAGATAATGTGGGATTTCCTGCCTTGATATTCTGGGATATAGGGCTGTGTGGAAGGGCCCTCAGGCTCCTAACCCTTACAGTTCTCTTCTCGCTCCACTACATTGGGACGAGAAGGGAGCTGCACTTTCCTTGTCAAACAACTCTGAAAAAGACTATCACCCCTCAGCATACATTTTGCATCCCACTTTTCTAACATTAATTAAAAAGAAGTCCAATATCTATTGGATCCCCAAGCCAGTTGTCTCCATCCCCCTTCTTTGCTTTCTGACTCTTCAGTTGCCTACAAAATACATGTGTCAGCAAACAGGGAGAGCTTTTCTCTTGTGGCATTCTGCTTATGAAATTCCCTCTGCACTGCAGCATAGTTGAATACAAATCTTGATCATTCCCAGCACCTTTTAAAAACTTACTTGTTTCACCATGTGCTTGCTAGATTTAATTCTTAATTTTGTGATATATTTGGTTTTTTACTACAGTTCCTTTCTTTTAACTTTGTTTTTCGTCTGTAGAAGTTTGTGAAAAATCCTGAAATGTTGTTAATCAAGAATGATTAACAGTAGTTTAAAGCGCTGAACTGCTGAACTTGCAGACCGAAAGGTCGCAGGTTCAAATCCGAGAAGCAGTGTGAGCTCCCACTCTTAGCCCCAGCTTCTGCCAACCTAGAAGTTTGAAAACATGCAAATATGAGTAGATCAATAGGTACTGCTCCGGCAGGAAGGTAACAGCGCTCCATGAAGTCATGCTGGCCACATGACCTTGGAGGTGTCTACGGACAACGCTGGCTCTTCGGCTTAGAAATGGAGATGAGCCCCAACCCCCAGAATCAGACTTAATGTCACGGGAAAACCTTTACCTAAGAATGATTAAGGCCTTTCCACACAGCCATATAACCCAGAATATCAAGGCAGAAAATCCCACAATATCTGCTTTTAACTGGATTATATGAGTCCACACTGCCATATATCCCAGTTCTAAGCAGATATTCTGGGATTTTCTGCCTTGATATTCTGGGTTATATGGCTGTGTGGAAGGGCCCTAAGTCCTAAACACACCTAACTTTTCTTAGCTTTCAAGATCAAGTGGCATCTTTAAGATATTTAGGCTGCAAACTGACACAAACTAGGAAATCATGACCATTCTAAAAGACTTGGGGAATATAAGCAGATACCATAATGACATCACTTAGTAGCTGATTTAACCTGACATGAATCTCACTGGGTACTGTTAGGCAGCTTGCCATCTAAAATGGGGATAATATTGATCTCCTTTTTGAATCCTTGAGGAAGGCACAGGTCAAAGTGTATACATAACTAGTTAACAACCTCTATTGCAGTGGTTCTCAACTGGTGGGTCCCCAGATGTTTTGGCCTTCAACTCCCAGAAATCCTAACAGCTGGTAAACTTGCTGGGATTTCTGGGAGTTGTAGGCTAAAACACCTGGGGACCTACAAGTTGAGAACCACTACTCTATTGGCATTCGTTCTTGGGTTTTTTGTTTTGTTTTTGTTTTGGTTTTTTTGGGGGGTGGGGGGTTGCTACAGAAAGGTAAAAGACTATGAAGTTGCTTGTATTTTAAAGGTAATTGTCAAAATCCAGTACAGACTTGGGCTTCAAAGCCAGTGTCTAAGTGCATGTCATTTTATGCAGGATTGTAACTTGGAATGTGAAATATGTGCATGTAACAAGAACTGTTACAGATAATACTGTGTCTTGCCTGATCTCTTCAGATAGAAAAGTGTAAACATTACACAATAGGGGTCATGGTGGCACAGCAGATTAATCCGCTAAGCTGCAGAATTTGCTGATCAGAAGGTCAGCAGTTCAAATCTGCTGATGGGGTGAGCTCCTATTGTTAGCCCCAGCTTGTGCCAACCTAGCAGTTTGAAAACATGCAAATGTGAGTAACATGCAAATGTGAATAGATCACAATGTGCAGGAAGGTAATGGTACTCCATTCAGTCATGCTGGCCACATGACTTTGGAGGTATCTATGGCCAACGCTGGCTCTTCGGCTTAGAAATGGAGATGAGCACCACCAGAGTCAGACACGACTAGACTTAATGTCACGGGGAAACATTTACTTTTACCTTTTAAGAATTTCCTTCTCTCATTCATCTGCAGTTTGATTTTTCCTTTGTGGAAGTTTATCGGATCAAAAACTTCCAGTTCACATCAAAGCATTTTGAAGATGGGGACAACGATGTCAATGATATGCAGAAAAAACACTTTGGCCAGTTCTGCAGAGACCATCCTGCTTGTTGCTGCATCCTTCCTAACAGCACCTGGAACTGTGATGGAGAGACTCTAGATAGCTCAACAATTGAATTCAAGTGAGTATTTCTCTTTTGAGAGATGAATTGATATAATATGTTTGATAACAGCTCTCATTGACGGGTTCAAAACTGGCAAAAGGACATTCACAGGAGCTAAAGACTTGAGTGCACACATGCATTAATAAATACATTTTTAAAATCAATTTCTGATATATCTATCAAATTTTTAATAAATAATGTACAAGAAAACCAGTTTTATAGCACTGAAGTCATAATAGATGTGAAGATTAATTGGGCATGAACCTATAACTGTAAAAGGTTAGTGGCAGCAGATCTAAAGAAGCCTTCAATAAAGCAAAGACCAGGTGCAGCTGAACATTTTTGCCAGCAGTCAATATTTTGTTGCTATTGGGTGTATTTCTAACTTATGGCAACACTAATGTTACTCTCACAGAGGTGGGTTTTTGGGGGTTTTTTTGCAAGTTTTGTTCAGAGGGGATTGTCTTCGGCTTCTTCTGGGGCTGAGAAAGTACGACTAACCCAACGTCACCCAATTGGTTTTTCATGGCTGAGTAGGGATTCAAGCCCTGGTCTCCAGAGTCTTAGTCCAGCACTCAAAGCACAACACCATGATAGTGGTTACACCCGAAATCTTTCAACCTTTTTGTTTTTCATACCAGACTGAGCCCAATGTGTCAGCTTAAAAACAACCTTGCAAAATCATATTTAAAATACATTCAAGCACTAAAATAATAATTATTATGAATGTTTGGGTAAGTTAGTATCAGATAGAATTAAAGAATTAGTAGATTAAATAATAAATAATTTACTAATTTCGAACACTGGTCTTGTAATCAGACCATCAATTTCCTTCCTCCCTCCTTGCTTCCTTCCTGGTTCCTTTCTTCCTTGCTTCCTTGTATAGAGTCAGAAAATGTCTAAAGTAGGATATTTTAAATCCCTTTGCAATGCATTTCACCAGAGAGAACTTTCATATCATCTGTCTTTCCAAATGGTAACAGCTGTAAAAAATAGTTTTTTTTCCCCCTCAGGATTGTCATTTTGTATGGTGTGCAGAAGTTTGCCCTACATTTAGTCAAATCATTAGTCCAGTAGTATTAACACTGAGTGGCCATTGACTCTACAGTAGCCTCCTTCTATTGGCTGTCTCCCTTCATCCCTCTCCATTGATAATGCTGGTGAAGACAGATAACAACTCTAATTCAGTAATCTCTGGCGAACCTGAATTGTCTCTCCACTCTTTCCAGTTGTGGTGGGGAGATGCCAGATAGTGAGGCTGGGGCCTTCTGCATGCAATTCATGCAACCTTAATGAGCTCCACATGCTGTCCTGATCCTGACCAGGTTTTCCTAGGATGACTGCTGTTGTTAGAGGCGTCATTCCCATTGGTGGCAGGCAGTTGACAATTAATGTGGCTCTTTCTTGTTAAACACATGGAGCATTCCTTTATCTTGCAGGGTTCACTGTCAATTAATAAAACTCTTTGCAAGAGGAATAGAAAAATCCAAACATGAAGCAGCTCACAAGCAAGCGAAGTAATTAACTGAAGTCAACTCTCCCTGAAAACAGAACAACAGATTACAGCTGGCTCAACAAATAAGTATTTCGGGCACATTAATAAATGTTTTCAAATGGAATCATGGTAATATTACTTTTGTGTGAATGTCTTGCAAGAGTTTAGATTTTATGCAAATCAGACCATTATTTTTTACAGAAATTTAATGTGTGCTACAAAGAATGGCAATTGGATCGCATTTCTTTCCTTCAAGCTAATTTTATAGCTGTCTTGCAGTGACAACTCAGCATGCAGTTCTAGGAAACTCAGCTAGACTTGTAACTCCTTAGAGCATAATGCCTTTTCCCTTTTTTTTTTTTTTTTGTTTAGTAAGAGACTAGTTTTCTGTATTTCCATGCTGGCCCAGAAGTGCTATTTCATTAAGATTGCTTGGCATCCTCTTGTGGTTTGAAGACTCTACAATAATAAAGTCCTCATAGAATCATAAAGTTGGAAGAGACCATATGAGTCATCCAGTCCAACTGTCTGCAATGCAGGAAAGACGCAATCAAAGCACCCCCGACAGATGACCATCCAGCCTGTTTAAAAACCTCCAAGGAAGGAGTTTCCACCAGACTCCAAGACAGAGAGTTCCACTGTTGAACAGCTCTTACAGTCAGGAGATTCTTCCTAATGTTCAGGTGGAATCTTTGTTTCCTGTCATTTGAACTTTTTGCTCTAAGTCATAGTTTCCAGAGCAACAGAAAACAAGCCTACTCTCTCTTCCTTATGACAGCCTTTAAAATAGTTGGACATGGATGTAGCCTCTCAACCTTCTCTTCTGCAGGCTACACATTCCCAGCTCTTTTAACCGTTCCTTATAGGGCATGGTTTCTAGACTTTTGATAATTTTAGTTGCCCTGGGCACGTTTCAGCTTGTCAATATCCCTCTTGAATTATGGTGCCCAGAAGTGGACACACTATTATTCCAGGTGAGGTCTGACCAAAGCAGAATAGACAAGCACCATTCCTTCCCTTGATCTAGACATTATTCATATTTTGATGCAGCCCTAAATCCCATTGGCCTTTTTAGTTGCTGCATCACATTGGTGCTTCATGTTGAACTTGTAGTCCATGAAGACTCCAAGATATTTTTCACATAGAGCGTTGTTGAGCCAGGCGTCACCCATCCTGCATCTGTGCATTTCATTTTTCGACCTAGGTGTAGTATCCTACATTGTTCCTTGTTGAAATTCATTTTGTTAGTTTTGGCCCAGCTCTCTAATTTGTTAAGGGCATTTAGGATTCTGAACCTGTCTTCCTCCCGATTTGGAGTCATGGCATAATTCATTTCGTCTTCCCCCAAAAAAATAACTCGTTAATTGAGCTTGACTTCATTCTGCAACTTAACAATGCAATCAAAACAAGCATTCCTGGAATACAGCTGCATATTCTGGAGCACGTATCAATACAAAAGCGACATGTAGCATCATGTGCGTTTGGCCAAAGCAATCCCTAATAAATGCTGGAGCAACTCAGATAAAGCCTGTTGAAATTACTTTGTTGTATACAACTTCTCAGATTGGGTTGTTGTAGGTTTTTCGGGCTGTATGACTATGTTCTAGAAGTATTCTCTCCTGACGTTTTGCCTACATCTATGGCAGGCATCCTCAGAGGTCTAGAGAATACTTCTAGAACATGGCCATACAGCCCAAAAAACCTACAACAACCCAGTGATTCTGGCCATGAAAGCCTTTGACAATACACTTTTCAAATTCCCCAGCCAGCTATTTGGAAATAGCCATGCTGGCTGGGGGATTCTGGGAATTGTAGTCCAAAAAGGAACTTTCCCAGATCTGCTCAGATTACATAGTATCTGAGAAGGTCAGGGAGGATATATGGATATATGTGTTAAATTAACAAGGCACCAGCAGTTTTATTTAAATGCACTGAATGTTGTCAAATTTATGTTGATAGAATGATAGAAATGATAGCAGCAAAATACCAGTTTTCAAACATACGATCTGTCACCCGTGGCCTGTAAAGCTACTATCCAAAAAAAATGTAGGTTCTCAAATTTTCTGATCATTCAAATTGACAATGGCATCTGCATCTAGATTTGTTTGTAGGAGGTGATGTCTGTTCAGAAAAAAGTGTATGTTTGTGAATGTGTCAATTCAATCCATGAGGTCATGAAGAGTTGGAAATGACTGAACGAATGAACAACAAGATTCAATCACCCAGTGACATGGCTATCCATCGCAGCCTGTTTAGTAACTACTGAAACTGTGTAGAAATAAATAAGAGGATATTTATTTTGATAGATGACAATGTGGGATGAAATTAGCAGTGGATCAGAATCTTTTCCTTTTGCAATTACAGCTCCTTTTAATGACTTGTATTTATAACGGAAATGGACTAATTCCCACATATAGAGTTTGGAGGAAATGCTGCTTTGTTAGTCTTGACTTTAATTTGTATGGCTTAGAAATTAATTTAGTAATATTTATTCGTTATTTCTATGTTGAGTTTCTGCTTTTCCTGAGAATGTTCTCTTTCATCCTTTCCAAGCATGCTGTAACCTTAAACACATTTCCTAGAAAACAAGACCTATTGAACTCAGTTGGACCTGTCTTCCAGATAAATACATAAAAACATGCTGCAGCAGACCTAAGTTTTCTTATATTTCCTTAAAGTTCTGTTGCATCCAAACACATTCAAATGCTTGATACGTTTGTTGTGTGCTAAGCAGATAACTTCAAGTCAGTGATTAACTAGATCCCATTTAGTATAGAAGGGTATTCACACTGAAACAATTTCTTGTACCCCCTCCACAAATGTTTTTGTGCTCCCCCAGGACAAGTCAATTCCCCCCCCCCCCCAGAAAAGCTAAACAATGCACCTCAGGTACATAGAAAGCCCCCAAATCACATTGAGCCTAGAAGACATTTGGGGGCAAAACCCCCTTGGGATGTTTCCATGGTCTTATCTGGCACTTCCCTTAAGATTGGTGGTTCCCAACCTGTGGTCCATGGACCACCAGTGGTCCACAAGAATGAAAATATGTCTATGGCCTCACCATTATTACACCGTTGCCTCGAAATCACGTGGCAACAAGAGCAACTGGTCTTTCAAAACCCTCTTATAGTGCTGAGGCAACGGGGATGTCGGAAGAGGAGAGGCTGACTACCCATGAAATATTACTACTACCACATCAGTCCTAGATTATTAGATTCGGTTTTCTGTGGGGCGACTACTGGATGGCATATGTTCTGTATCTGAAACTAGAGCTGATGTGGTCTTTCCAATGCAATTTTCTAAATCAGCATGCCAGATAACCAAACCAAATCTAAAGTTGACCAAAGACTGTTTTGTAACCCTTTTGGTACTAAAGTTGGAGAGTGGTCCCAGGTCAAAGTGGTCCCTGGTCAAAAAAAGGTTGAGAACCATTGCTTAAGATGAATAAAGAAATCTCCTTGTGAATAAGGAGACCATGAAATGAACTACAATCCCCGAATAACATGTGTTTTACTGCAGAATGTGTGTGTTGAGAATTTGGAAGGTATTTCCCCGCCCCCACATTTGCAGTTAAAATTTTAAATTAAATTATTTTATGATATAAAATTGTGATTTCTTCAAGCTTCTCAGATATGTTTCTAAATGTTAAACCACATTATACTATCCAGTGGGTTTTTTGCAATTCTACTATTGCAAAAATCCACTATATCTCATTCCCCCCCACCCCAAAAAATGTTAAGAAATACTACTGGCCATACTTAAATCAACTGGTAATCAGAAAGGGCTTGTTTTAAAAGTCGTTGCCAATCCCAGGAATAGACCTTGTTTAATTAAATTAATGTATTGATTAATAAGAGCTTATTTAACAAGGTGTGAAATATCCCAGGAGAAGACCTTTAATTAAGAAATAAATCAAGTAGACTTGTTTGACAGGTTTTGAGATTTCCCAGGAATTGAGTTTTAAAAAGTTACTTTTTAGATAACAACTTTGAGAATCCCTGCACAGCTGTGAATTGTAGCCCAAAAAGTAATTGTGCCCTGAAATAGGAACAAATCAGTCCGACTTGCACATATGTCAGCCTATATAAAATTAAGCACATTTCACATGGCCAGTTATCTGGAAGTGAAGCAGAAGGTCAGTAAAATAAAATAAAGCAGCCAGAAAAACACATCAGGCAGCCTCAACTCTTTCCAAACATTTCATCAAAACCAGCAGGAGGTAAGCTTTTAAATAGCATTCTGTCTTTAGCACATTCCTGCAAGCAAGGCTAAAATTTGCCACCTGAGAATGAGTGCCCTTTTCTCAAACTTGTATTTATCAGATTTGCTTTTTATTGAACAGACTATACTTGTCCGTTCCCTTTTTTTGTTTACTATAGGCTGTGGAATCTGCTGCATGCTTATTTGGGAGTTTGTCCCCTTGAACTCAGTGGGGTTTGCTATCAAGGAAATGTGTAAAGGATAGACTGCATCTGAATGCTAAAGGCTTAATGAGAAACTAGAATGAGCCTCCTGAACATGAACACTGTCAGTGGGGGGCTCCATGATCGCTTGTTGTAAGGGGTTATTTTCTTTTATCAATCTTGCTGGCTTCAAGGTTGAAAAGCAATGTTTTATTCTTATGTGCTGAATTCTTCTGAAAAATAAACATTTAAATTATGTTGCAGATGCAATGCATTTGTCTCGTAAGTTTTTCTTGGTCAGAATGCTCTCCTGGCTTATAACATTGGCCTAGATCAGTGGTTCTCAGCTCCTGGTCCGCAAGAGCAAAAATATGGTTCATGACCTCAACATTACTACACCGTTGCCTTGAAACCACATGGCAACAAGAGCGACTGGTCTTGCAAAACCTCTTATAGTGCCGAGGCAACTGGGATGTTGAGAGGGGAGAGGCTGACTACCCACAAAAGATTACTACTACCACATTAACTCTAGTTAGTAAATATGGTTTTCTGTGGGCAAACAGATGGCAACTACTGGATGGCATATGTTATGTATCAGGAACTAGAGCTGATGGGGTCTATCCAATGAATCAGCACCCCAAATAACCAAATCAAATCTAAAGTTGATCAAAAACTGATTCATAATGCTTTTGGTACTAATATAGGAGAGTGGTCCCTGGTC